AATGATTTTTTTTTTAAAAAAAGTACTTTATACTAAACACAGGCAAATTTTCTGTCTCTTAAAAACTTAGAAAATAAACTGTATCTTCTCTAATATCTACTAAAATGGAAAGCTTATCATTTTCTACCCTGACCTGAGGGTTTGGCTCTGAACATGGGCTGGATAATTCTCTGAAAAATATGAACAGCCAAACTGTATCTGCCTTTTTAATATGGGGAGAAGCTAAACTGGAAGCCCCTATCAATCGCACAACCCTCCTTATTTTTGGTCACTTAAAGTGCCTATCACTGAAAACTTTCAGTAGAGAAGTGAATATTCCTCTCCCCAGAGAGGGTTGCTTTTCAGCTGGAAGAAGGGTGTGTCCCTAAGCTTTTACCTGGGAGCAATGATGATCTTGTCAAGCATTTCAGTGAGACCAGCCCAAGTTTTTAGGGTGGGGATCCGGACTGGTTATACGTACCTGCAGTCCTTCTCCCAGAGGAAGGCAGAAACACCTCAAAGCCTGCATGTACGAACATCTACTGAGAAATTATTTTAATCAGACACCAGCTGAGTGGGAGAAAGAAAAAGAACAGAGAAGAAACAAACAAAACTCCCTAGGTGTTGGATGTAAGAGATCCCAGCAGCAGCAATGGACTGGAATTCCTTCCGAACAGCTGCAGTACTATTCATTTTCCTGGTAAGTGGAATCTACAAAAAATATTCTCATCTTCATCCTCATCGCAAGCAAGTGAGAACTTTTTAGAAAATGTTATTTGGTGGCACTTCTAACCTAAACCCATTAAAAGTTTATGTTAATGACCAGGTGATTTTATGAACTCGATTTTTAAATAGGGTTTCTCTATTTAATTGAAGACTCCAGATCATATGAATGCCTCCGTGTCCATTCATCCTATCATATCACTGACATGGAAGTCATTGCTAAGACATGCTGGGAAAATACTGAACTTGGGAAATTCTTATCACTCCTTGGGTCACTGTACAAATTCTCATTGGCAGGTGGGCTTTTATATTAAGTATGGCAGGTGTGTCCTGACTTTCAACCTAAACATTTTTTTTTATTCTTTTGGTATCTTTGATGGCAGAGTCACTGTAATTTTTAAATTAAAAAAATAAGGTCCACATAAATTTAAATTATAGAAGTCAGTCTGTGATGGGCCTCACTAGCTCATGGACCAATTTGTCCTCAGGATCCACACTATGAATACCAGAAGCCCATGCTACTTATTATGATTTGATTTAAAACTTTCTAATCTTAAAAAAAAACTGTCAGTTTAGGAGATTTGTAAATAACACAGTAGGCAAAGGTATGGCTATAATTAAGGGGTAAGTATAATTATCACTCTGCTTATTCTTACTACTGAAAAGTTAGTAATGACTGATATCAAAGTTGTACATTTGATGGTCAATGATGTCAGGAAATGGTTTATCATTGCCCCCTTACCTGTTATTAGTTTTCTCTTTAGAGATGATAAATATTAAATGCAACACCAATACCTTATATCAAAAAAGAAATTTCATTTTGTGCAACAATTTTAAAGTCATAGTCTGTCTCACCGTAAGACTCATGGAATCCCACAAGGCAAGTGCCAGGTAAATCACCCTTCAGCTTTGGCAGGATGTGGTTCATATTTGTTCCTACTTGCTTAATTTTTGAACTGGAATGTTGGGTTTGTGTAATAACAAGGTAGATCTTTGATGCAAAGTATGCTGGTTAGTTTAAATTCCACTTATTAATGAAAATAGGTCATAACAGTACATTAAGTTACCAATGAGCTTCAGTAAATGGATAGCTTTAGTTTTTCAAACTGCACTTCAAACATCACTACTCCTATGCCATAGACTTGTCAATGGATTTTCAGTTTCAGTTGATATCTTAACTTGAGATATGGCCATGATCAATAAGCATTACCACTCTGATATTTTACCTTAGGAATATTTTTTCATTGCCAAATAATCAAATACTTTTATTTTTAGTTTCACACAAATTCTTTTCATGTAAATTTGACTGATTAAAGTTTATTGTATAATTTTAATTGATTAGAGTTTTCAAATGTCTATGTACTTTCATTAAGTCTATGAGATCTGCCCTGCTTCTTGATCTATATAATTATTTCTAATTGATTTTCATTCTATAAATTCCTTTAAGCAGCTATGTCCTAATTAATCATTCTTCAATAAAACATATCATTTTATAAAATTCATGTATTCTCAATGAGCTTTCTTTGGAGAGAGGTTTCTGGGCATTTGTGCTTTAATTTCTGAGTCTGGATAACTTTGATTTTTTTATAGATTGATTTTGGAGGAATGAGGAACATTTGACCATATTTTAGTTTGGAATCAATCACAAGTTTCTCATGTCTTGTGAAAAATATTTCTTGAGAAACTTATATTGTAATGACCTTAAATATCTTATTTTTCATATTGCCATCATAACATTTTTTGTAAAACATTTTACTTTCTATGGCTTTGAAGGTCATAATTTATTTTTACTGCTGATTTTACCAGATGGGTTTGGTAACTGTCCTTTGGAATCTCTAATCTGTCTTTTTCTTTAAAATATTTCTTCCCTAAAGACAACCACCACTATAGCAAACTCTTTCAATTTCCTTTCCTCTAATCTCAAATGTTTGCCTATACCAAAAAAAGAAGAAAAAAAAAAACTACATAAAGGCTTTATATTTTTCTCTGCTCAAATTCATAAATAAAAATCCATGTAGCAACATACTTGAACAATTGTGAAGATATTTAAGATATTTAAACTGTTAGTATCCATAATGCAAAGCCATTTGAGAGCTGGGTAACTGTCTGTTCACAGCATGTCGTATAGTCGGCTCGACCTATGTGAAAGTTTTAGACCTTGATCAATCTTTGAGTTGGGCCAGAGAGAGTAAAGCACAGAAGCTACTCTTAAAGTAGTCAAGGTTGTTTCAAAATTGTTCCAGTACTCAGACAAGTCTTCTGGACAGATAATAGCCCACATCTGCTTTAACACTGAAAGCCAAAAACATTAACTGTTTCACATTGATTTTTTCTTCTCCTTCTCCTTCTCTTTCACCTCTCCTTTCCTCCATAAAATTAGCATTTAGAGTGGAGGAAATAGTTCGAATGCATGCTCTTTTGGCAATAGAACAATGTTACCTACGCACCAAATATAAGACATCTGGCCAGATGTGGTGGTGAATGCTTGTAATCTGAGGGATTTAGTAGGCTGAGGCAGGAAGATAACAAGTTTGAGGTCAGCCTGAGCAACTTAGCAAGACCCTGTCTCAAAAAGTACTCAAAATAAAGAAAAAAAATAGAAAGGACGGAAGGAAAAAGATCTACATGATTGCACTCAGACTAAAATACACTGAAAATTATATTCATTTTATTACCTGATTCATCAATGGATTTGAATCAAACATCCTAAGTTCCCTTAACTGTGTTCAGTGGCATTTAAAGCAGGAGAAGGCTAAAAAATTAGTACAGACCGAGCAGACGAGCGGAGGAGAGAACTCTGCTTTCTTGTGCACATATTATAGTTACATACATTATAGAGATTAGTATTTCAGTAAAATATTTTATAGAAAATGGAAGCAGTAGATCTGTTCATCTATTCAGTGAAACTCACAAATTGTATTTAATCGTAACCATTTCCATTGATACAGGGCTAGTGAATAAGAATTACTATTTCAATGCAGTTTCAGGATCAGCATCTTCTTTCACCTTTACATAAACAGGAATGCCAATGTATCACCACTCAATTAGTGTGAGTTGCTTCACAGTAAAAGCATTCTGCCATCCTAAGGTTTTAAGTAATAGGAAAACCTAAATCACTAGGAATGCAAATTTATCAATCTGAAGACTTGACCCCGAGGGTCAAAATTCACATATTTGAAGAGTCTCGTGACTCTTAAAAAATGACATTTTTTGTCTACATCCAGAACACTTCACATCTGATAGCTCTTCATTCTGCTTTTATCAAGGACACTGTTGCTGAGTATCCTTGTGTCCTAATAGGCACCGCCTGCTGTATAAGCTCCAAGCCTGCTCTGCCTGGCATTGTAGTTTCATGATGCTCAGCCCTCAACTGAGGGAACGCCCTCACAGAGTGCTGGGTCATGCCACCCCCGCTGGTTATGCTTGGCATGCAAATTCTTTAATGGACTTAGACAGGTTAAAATTTTTTATAATGCCATTGGCAGCTGATCCATACTCTTAATTGGTCTAAGAGAACAATGCTCTGATGAGAAATCCCATCTCCACAAATTCAGAGCTGCCTGTTGTTTAGGAGTCTACTTGACTATAAGTTATTTGAAGGCAGGTTCTGTGCCTGGTTCAGCTTTGTGTTCCTCATAATGCCTTGAAACTGTGCAAGATTGCTCAGCAGGTATCTCATCACACTGAGCAGGGGGATTTTTGGATAGTTTTTTTTTTTTTCTTTCCTCAAACATACCCTTCCAAAAATATCAAGGTATTAAACTTGGAAATAATCACTTTGGATTTTCCTAAAATTTTTATGACATAGTATTGCATTTTCTTGACATTTTTTTCTAAGGCTTACCATAATATTTTTAGGATTTAGGCCCTTCTTAAGTCTTAAAGTAGTCTTGGATCCATAGAATACACATTCAATACATGTTTGTCAAAGAAATGCACAAACTAATAAAAAAAATGTGAGAAATCAACTGAGGGATTATCCACCTCAGATTGATATCCTTTGCTGGAGTAGTAAAAAGAAGAAAGACAAAGAGGAGGTTTTTAAAAATAAGTAAATGATATTTTACCTTTGCTTTAAATTCATCCTTGTGACATACATAGCCGTTAAATGCATTAAGATTTGACGCTTAACACGTTGATGCTCAAAATCATTAAATGTAAGAGAGTTTCCTTATAAAATTACTTTCTCAGGTCTATTTTTTATTATATAAAAAATATACACTTCAATTAAAAAAAATGCTACAACTGCAATTAAGGAATCATTAAAATTACCATGCAATTTTGCATCCTGTGGCTTTTTCAAAATAAATAAATGAATAGATTGTCTCCTAAAACAAAGATGAACAGGGGAACTCACCGAAGATGTACTTTAGATGGATTAATCCATTAATTAATTAATTTTAGAATATGAGAGGATTCAGTTCTCACATACAGATGAGGTAATCGAGGCATAGAGTGACCATCCCTGTGCCTGTAACCAGGGGACAAGAAAGAGACTCTTAGGGGTTGCCCCATATTCCTCACTGCATGAACTTCCATCACAGGCTCCCTAACATGGTTCCAGAATTATTTCCACCCATGCTACTTCCCTAATTGTCAGAAAACAACCTCAACCTTACTCCAGGGACAAGATCAGAGCAATGTCCTCCAGCTTACTTGGCCTAATCAATTCTTGTCTCCATCCTCCTTCTCCTCTCTGTCCTCTGTCTCTGAAGTCCTCTCTTTTTCTGCCTATTTCGTCCTCCTCCCTCCATCCCAACAACTCTGTTTAGCATCTTCTGTTAGAATCTCTTTTATTTTAAGTCAAAATTTCCTTGTCTCCTTCCTCAACTTCAAAAATCCAGAGATCTCCCTTTTCCACCAAAATTTTCTGGATTCCTGTATCTAATCCTTTCGTTTTAGCTTTGTTTCCTTTTATCAACAAATTTCTTGGAAGAGCGGCCATCTTTGTGTCTTCCTCCCTTCCTCTTTATTCCTTAATCTTTTTCAATCCAGCAAATGCTTGTTCCATCTATATGAAAGTGCTCTCTCTAAAACCTCAGGTCTTCAGGATTCACATTTTCACCTTTTAAAAATATCATCTGATGCCTATTTACACACCATCTGTCTCAATTTCCCCTTCCCTTGTGATCTGTTAAAATGCATTATATTTTCCTCCTGTTTCGATGGCCACTCCTTCTCTGCTTCTTTGTTTCTTGTTTGTTAAACTTATTTCCAGTTATATAAATGTTGGAATTCCCTGCTCCCATCTCAGCCACAGACAACTTCTTTTCTGTACCCTTTACTTTAAGAATTGCAACTTCTCCCATGATTTTCAACTATCCTGCCTGAGCACAGGAACTTCAAATCTAGGTAAAAAACCAGGCTGAGCTTTTGATCAAGGTGAAGATGCGTTTTACAAATGATTAAGTATCTTTACCTGAGTGTTTCTCTTACATCTCAATGTGTTCTATACAATCTGCTAATTCCTTGATTTCAGGCTCACTTTTTAAAATCACCATCATCTGAGATTCTTCCCTCTCTTGATTCCCCCATCTCTCAGGCTCTGTCAATTCTAATATCTCCCTGTGTTGATATTTCCCTGTCAATTCCTACTACCTCTGTTCAGGTTTAGTTTCTCCTTGCCTCTAGCCGAACTTGATATTGGAGACTCTCAACTGCTCACATACTGTAATCGCTGCCTCTTCCCATCACTTCTACCAACTGTTGTCTGATTCATCTTTTAAGCTCACAATTTTTATCATGTCTTTTCCATGAGCAAAACGTACCTTCCTAATGAACAAAGGGAGATGATGTTAGAACTGGAAAGGTATGTAAGTTGGTCTTCCTTTTTTAACAAATGAAACTAAAGCCCAGAGGACTTAGAAGCTTTTCTGACTCTCCCAGTGATTTTTTTTTTTTTTTGTCACTATTTTGCCTTTGAAAGTCCAAGAGTGACATTGTATCTGAGCTTATTCTAGACTCTGAGCAAAAGAAAATAAGCTTAGGTCAACCCACCACATTTTCAAGCAGACTTGGCAGTTTTTTAATTACCCATCCAATTGTGAGTCTGACACAATGGTGAAACCTGCTTGGTCTCCTGCCTAAGTTGCCTCTCGTGGGAAAAAGAATGACCCAGCTTCATAAAGTGGGAAAAGTCTCTTAGTCATCTGGGACATTGATCCAAAACAAACAGCAGACAGGACACCTCACCACAGGAAGGGAAATGCAAAAACAGATAACAGATGTCTACGCAGCTCTGTAACTATGAACAAAGGGTTTCCAAACTGACAAATAAGGTATCCTACATCCCCGTTCCACAAACAGCAAAAAGGGAGAAGTACTTTACCTCTACAGGTATCGAGAGTGCATTTGCACAAGCATCTTTTCAGTTTTGTACTCAAGACAGACTTTACAGATAACATCTCAGCTACATGTGCAAAACATTTAGGCCTTTGACTTTCCTTTTTTCCCTTTTACTACTGTTGTCATTGTTATTACAAGATGGCACAGCCTGTAATTCCAGCAGCTCAAGAGGCTGAGGCAGGAGGATCACAGGTTCGAAGCTAGCCTCAATAATTTATGGAGACTATATGCAACCTATTGAGACCCTGTCTTAAAAAGAGTTGGGAATGTGGCTCAGTGATTAAGAGCCCTTGGATTCAATCCCTGGCACCACAGAACAATCAAAACCTGTTTCTCATCCATGCAAGGATAATATATTAAATTATCAGATAGTTTTGAGTTCTCTAAGGTGTTATGTCAATTCTGTATAATACGTTTTGAGGGAACATATCATTTATTGTAAAACCCCCAAGCACAAGTTTAAGCTGAGATTTATTGGGTCATATGTAGCCATAAGTTAATAGCCACGCCCCAATTTCCTCATCCATTAAATGAAGATAATACGGATAGTGACTACATGGACTTACTGCAAAGATTAAGTACATAGCTAGCGAATCACTGGAGGGAGAACATAAGGGAAAGAGAAGGTCCTGGGGAACTAGATTGATCAAATTATGTTATGCATATATACAAATATGGCATAATGAATCCCACTATTATAAATAATTATAATGCAACAATAAAAATAAAACAAAATAAATCTTTAAAATGCTCCCCATTAGCTTTGATGTGGAGCCCCTCCCAAAAAGATTAAATGCATAGATTCCTCTAAACATATTGTCTAGTACTTAGTTATCATTCAGTTAATCGTAACAGTGATAATTATGATTAATACTACACCATGGGTAAATAATTCTCTTTTCACACTACTCATATTAACTATAAATACATGTTTTCTTGAATTATCAATCATGACAATTTTTAAAAATTGGTACTTGGAGACTGCCATTTTACATTTTCTTTAAGAGTGAAGTTAAAAACAAACTATCAAAAGAATTTTACCATACTTAAAAATTACTATTATTATCATTTTTAAAATGCAACCAGTTATTTTCTTATATCACTGATGCAGATAATGTCTGATTGTGAAAACAATTTTCATTCTTTGCAATTCTGGAAAAAACTCAATTAGATGTTGAACATGTCTTATTAAGGAAGTACACCATCTTTAATTAATTCCAAGTGCAATCTAAAACCTAATAAATGCAAACTAGCCATCAAAACCATGTTTAAGCAATATTTAAACAAACATATGGAAACATCAGAATTGAAGTGTGTATGTCTTATATTTTACAAAACACTTGTGGTTTTTAGGGGAAAAAATAAGTTATTATACTGATGTTTCACTACTGATCACGTGTAAAGATCATGTCCAGAGCTTAAACTAGGCAGAAATATGGCCAGAACACTTGTTTGACCAGAGAAATTGCAAAAGAAAAGATTAATGAACACTTCATCTGTAGCAATTTATACACTCCTGTATTTTCCTCTCCTTGCTATAGAAGATTGCATTTATAGCATCTATTTCAGTTTTAATGTTAACAATAAAACTTCAAATATGAACTCATTTTACATATAGTAAATTATTTGCTTTTATTTAAAAATTTTTATTTTTATTTTTCAAAGCAGGAAGGAGAGTTGTCTTCTTAAAATTTCTAAAAAGACTAGAAAACCTTCCATCTAGAACTGGAGTATAAAGGAAGAATTGCTATGAAGTTTCCTAGACAGCTCTCTCCTTTACTTTGAACAATTTTGTTTTTCTATTTCCATTTGTAGCATGTCAAATCTTGCAACCATAGCCCCAAGTTCTAATACAGGACTTACCATTGACTATCACTGCATAATATCAGAATATCTCCAGCTCTTCAGGAACAGGATTTATTAAGAAAACTGATTTTCCAACCCTCGTTTCTCATGGGATCTTGCTTCAAAAATGTGATTGGGAGTATCTACATAGCTTAGAATGAAAAAAAGATTTTTAAAAAGTAATAAAAAGAAAAGCAAAGTGAAAAGCAAAAACAGGAAGAATTCTTAGGTTCTTACCAGACCCCAGAGCCAAACCAGATCCATCAGCTATTCAGACTGATGAATAATTCTAATAACTCACAAGACTATTGTTTGATTTTTTTAATGATGGAATAACATGAATTTTATAACATTAAATTAAAAATCGACTATTGTAATTATCTTTTTTTTTTCTTTCCATAGGTGGTGGTGGAAGTTAACAGTGAATTTCGAATCCAGGTAATTTCCCTCAAATCCATTGAAAAATGATTTTTGATTAAAAAAGAAAAGAAAAATGTTTGTAACAGAATTTTTTCCAAAGAAGATTCATTCTAATATGTAAAGTTAATCTAAACCAGGTATGGTAGTACATGCCTATAATCCCATAGACTCAGGAAGCTAAAGCAGGAGGATCATGGGTGCATGGTCAGCCTCAGTAACTTAGTGAGGCTCTGTCTCAAAATAAAAATACATTCAAAAATAAATAAAGTTAATGTAATGCTGAAGTTAATAGACTACCAAAATTACCAGCTTCCCCAATTAAACATCCTTTCTTTTTAACATTATAATTTCCCCCTCCTCCAAAACCTCCAGTGAAATATGAACTATAAATAATGGATACTATTACTTTGTCCTCCCTATTCAAGGTTAGAGATTATAATACTAAAAATGGCACCATCAAGTGGAATTCGATCAGAAGGCAAAAACGTGAATGGATCAAGTTTGCTGCAGCCTGCCGTGAAGGTGAAGACAACTCCAAGAGAAACCCAATTGCCAGGGTAACTGTCAGCCCCGAAACCAAAGCTGAAAGTCAAAATGGATGGTGTTCAGGTTTCAAAAGAAGTTGTCTTTTAAATGTGTGGAGAGCAATCTCACTGAGAAGTATGACAGAGAACTAGAATCATTCAAATTGTGAAAACCGAAGTTTCTAAAAGGATAGATTAAGAAATTTGAGTATTTAAATGAACAATTAAGACTTGACTCACCTCGCTGGCAAAATTAACATATGTGCCACCCAGGAGTCTAAATGAGAAAAAAAAAATACTGTGATTTGAAGAATTTAGTGTTTGTCACACTCACAGGAACCACTTCAGCATGTGCTTTTTCTGCTTCATAATCTATCAGAATTGAATTCCTAATTTTGTGCTTATTTAGGAACATCCACAGGTGCCTCTTTTGTGCTATAGTTTTTCTTTGATTTTCCTTCATTTTCCTCTCTGCACACACATACACAACCACAATCAGAAATGTGTCTGCACACACAGATTCACACACACAGATATATAGGTTCATGCACAGATACACACAAATGTGCACACCCATTCACACAGATATACACAGACTCCCCGTATGATTTGTTTGCTGGCATTCAGTGCCTTATTTCAAAGAAAGTTCTGATTTCTAAAAGCATTCATTTGAGCAGCCTCCTTCTTTATCTGCTAATGCATCCTCTACAATTTCAGAATGAAAATCTCTAAATAACTTGATACCTACAAAAATGCACTTAAAACTTTCTTTTTAAATCTTACATTTTTTTTTTTAGTTTTTGAATACTGACCATCAAAGTTATGCAATGAGAGCACCAGTGAACTCCTGAAAGAACGAGAAGCTCTCTCCTCCAGATCAAGAGCTCACAAAGCTTGAAAATGACACAAATTCAAATTATGAATGTTGAATGAATGACAAGTGCAGAGATTTAGATTTATTGGGGTGATATTTTACCTTTCTGGTCTTAGTAGAAATAGAAATTGATTTTGTTTTACTGATTGTTGGTTACCATTAAAAATACTACCATTATTATTGAAAGTAAAGTAAATAAATAAAGTTAATGTAATGCCGAAGTTAATAAACTACCAAAATTACCAGCTTCCCCCAATTAAACATCCTTTCTTTTTAACATTATAATTCCCGCCCCCCTTAACTCAAGGAAAATAACTCTGTTTTCAACATTTCCCAAATGATGACAGGGACCACACATTCAACAATTCTCAAGAAAGATAGCTGTCACATATCCAATATAGAACCCTTTACTTGCTCCCTGTAATATTTTCACTTGTGTTCTTTGTGCAGATCAGTTCAGATTGTGCTGCCAACCAGCAAGTTACATACCGCATCTCTGGAGTAGGAATTGATCAACCACCTTATGGAATCTTCATTATTAACCAAAAAACTGGTGAAATTAATATAACATCCATAGTCGATCGAGAGGTCACTCCTTATTTCATTGTAAGTGGGTTTTATCTAATGAGTGTGTGTGTGTGTGTGTGTGTGTGTGTGTGTGTGTATGTTCAGGCCTAAATTATTCATGGAAATTTTCAAACTCATATCGATGCTTGACTTGATATCAAGAATCTCAATATCCAATAAATACAGAGAAAATTAAGAAAGAAAGGAATATTTCACTTAAGGGTTAGCAAAAATACCAGTGTCTACTCAGCCCCTGTGGCAAACTAGAATATTGATTTGAAGGAACAAGTATCTAACTTTTACTCCTTTTTAAAATAATTCAGTTGAAAATGTTTGTTCTTTTCCATTCCAATGCCACTAATGAAGGATTCTGTTCTGATACTATTAATTTATTAATATTAAATATGAATTTATAATCAAATGTGTTACAATTTGATTATAAATTCACCTTGCTCAAATGCACCTGAGCTCTAAATGAGCCTTGGAAATTCTTTCGTCCTTACCTGGATTGCCCTCCATTTCTTGCAGGAGCTGTTGTGAGCTTCAGCACCTCTCTCTTCAAATCTTCAACTTCATTTCCCCCTAAGCAATTGACTCTGAGACCAGCTTTAAAAAGCTGGGGTTCACCCAACACAAATTCCCACAATTAATTCTCTCTCCTCCAGATCAGAAATGTTCTTCATTAAATCCAAAAACAGAGTCAAGTCTCTGCTTTTCCCCACACCTAAGCCAAGATATGCCCATTGTGCCATAATTGCCTCTTTCTTCAAGAGCCTTATTCCATCAACTTTTTTTTCATTTATCTTTTGCTTGTCCCATTGCCTGCTTCCATTTATATCTATCATTATAGTCAACACCTATTAGTACTTACAGTAAAAAAAAAAAATTAAATAAACTCTTCTTTGATTTTGTAATCTCATCTCTTAAAATATCAGCAATTCATATCCAAAAAAGGCCTTCAAATAGCAATCTGCACTTGCTGATCTCACTCATATGGCTTAATCCTATGACTACTCTAATTCCATATCTGCCTTCAATTCCAAAACTGCATTCCTGCCTTTTCTTCCACAGTGTATCCCCACAAACTCCAAATCAGACAACTAATGTATCAGTTTTTCTTGACACACAATCCACATTTATACAAAATGTATCACATATATGAAATAGTAAACATCAGAGTTATGCACATTGCAGATAATAATAATGCAAATACCCCCACAGTGGCTCCTAACTTTAGAATGCTACATTTCAGAACATGTCATTCAGGGTAACTTTAATCCATGTTCTTGGACCATAGTCATTCGTATATGGTTCAGGAAAAAATTATTTTCTTATTGCTGAAAAAAGGCCTACTACATTTCTTCAAAGTTCCCATGTGACTCTTCTTTACCATGTGATCAACCCCACTCCCAATCACCTCTGTTCCTAATTTTAAACACAGCATTCGAATCACTACATTTCTTCCTTTCTAAGAATCTCTTTGTTTGGAACACTTGCCAATTCCCAGCTCCATCTGTTGAAACTCCCTTCCAAGATCTACCTCAATCATCACATTCTTCTACAAAGTCATAGTATTTTTGTTCTTCCTTTATATATCTTATCATATTGCCTTCTCTTAATTAACATTTTGTGTTCATGTTCACCATCTCTGTTGATTACATAAGTTGTGTCTATATCTAGTATAAAATGATGGTAATAATATGTCTTATCTTTTAATTTCTGACAGTACCTAGTATCAAGCCCCCTGAAAAAAGTCAGAACTTAATACGTATGTCTTTCACTATATAATTATTCTTCTTTTCTCTCTCCTAGATCTATTGCCGAGCTCTCAATTCAATGGGCCAAGATTTGGAGAGACCTCTGGAGCTTAGAGTCAAGGTTCTGGATATAAATGACAATCCTCCAGTGTTTTCCATGTCTACATTTGTAGGACAAATAGAAGAAAATTCTAATGCAAGTAAGTAGTCTACTTTATTAAAGTAAACAAGAACATATTGGCTTCCAGATCACTCTTTACTTCCAGGCAACTACAGACTAAACTGCATCAAGGTAAACATGGCGGATTTTAGAGACTTTCCATAGAAAAGCATTCTGAACAGAAAGGCTTTCCCTTCAACTACAGAAGTAGCTCCAGTCCATCATCTACAAGAAGCAGCTCCAAGGCAATGAGGAGGAGTTATTTATGTGACTCATACACTGGCTCTGTAGAAGATTCCTAACAAATTCCAAGAGCATTTTCCAAAGTGGTGGCAAGGGCATAGGGATGAACATTTAGTCTCCCAACCTGGCTGTGCTGAAGGGCAGTCTCACCTCTTCTGATCGTCATGTTTCTTTTTAAGTTAGATATTTAAGTTAGAGCACTTACCTGCAAGGACTTTGACAGTCTCAAGGAGCCATTGTCTCTTTGTGGATCACTGTTTAGGGCAGTGTTTAGCTGCCAAATACATAAGGTACCTAAGTATGTTAGCTGTTTATCATGCCATTAAAGGGTGGCCTAAACACATGAACAGATAAGGTTGTTCCTTTGAAGTCAAAACCTCAATTTACATAGGAACTTTTAATCTTTAAACAGTATAACGTCTTATAAATTCTATAAGCCCTCACATTCTACTTTTATTCATTTAAATACTATATCTATACTTTGAATTTTTAAAATATTATAAAAATGCCTGTTGTAAAAATTCATCAGACAATCTAAAAAATAAAATGGAAATGGGAATCTATTTTTTCTTCTCCCTAGTATCATTCTTTGGAGGCAAACTTTAACATCTGTACTAGGTACATGTTTTGTAATTATATAAACATAAATAAACATGCTTTTGGACATAAGTAGTATCCTTATACATACTAATCCATGCAATTTTATTTAGATATATTTTGAACATATTTCCATATCAGGCCATCTTTCCTGATTTCTTCACTTATTTCAATAGTTGCACTGGATTTCACATTATATACATATAATTAGTTAATTACCTACATTTTTTAAACTATGCTAAACATTTTTTAAACTATGCTAAAATGAAGAAAGGGAGAAAGAAAAGAAGGGAGAGAAAAGGGAAGAGATGCCCTGCTTCACTTGTAGAAAAACTTTTTTGAAACAGTTCGGAAGGTAGAAAAGAATTCTAGATTATAAATGAATACTTGCAGCTTTTCATAGTCTATAGCACCTTTCATTAAAACCACTCATAAGGCCTGGTGCAGAGGCGCATATTTGTAATCTCAGCAGCTCGGGAAGCTGAAGCAAGAGGATCTAAAGCGAGTTCAAAGCCAGCCCCAGCAATTTAGCAAGGCCCTAAGCAACTCAATGAGACCCTGTCTCTAAATAAAATACAAAATAGGGCTAGAGATGTGGCTCTGTGGTTGAGTGCCCCTGATTTCAATCCCTGGTATACCCCCATCCCCCCAAAAAAACACTCCTAAGATCAACGGAAAAGATAAGAGACAGGACAGGACTACATGTAGTTAAATGAACATTTCTTTAAATCTACTAGTTATTCAGCACTTAACTGAGAACAGCCCCAAACAATAATAATATATATTTACTAAAAGTGCATATCTAATAAGAACTTCATTAGCTATTTAAATCTTGTCTGATCTCAACAAAAATATATTACCATCATCTCTATTTATAGCTATGGAAACTAAGGACCAGATGATTTAGTTTCGAAGTGTGAAAGTCAAGAAAAAGTTGATTGGGTCTTAATATCATTTGTTTCACCTAAACAAAACATCCTAAAGAAGAAGAAGAAGTTGTACTAAAATAAGAAATGGAAATCCAGAATAATACACTTCCTTTGTTTGCTAGCTTCAGAAATGTCTGAGCTTCTAGTAAAATATGATCTCTTATTAAGACAAAGGCAAAGAAAGGTGCTAAGGTATTAATGTGTTGAAGCAGTAGAAAGGGAAGATACTAAGATTATATGGAACAACTAACACACTGTTGGGTAGGTAACATACTATACTGTAGCAAAAAATGTAAAATTGTCTCTTTGCAATCTATTTTCCTTCATTTCTAGATACACTGGTGATGAGACTCAATGCTACTGATGCAGATGAACCAAACAATTTGAACTCAAAAATAGCCTTCAAGATCATAAGTCAGGAACCTTCTGATTCACCAATGTTTATCATCAACAGATACACTGGAGAAATTCGAACAATGAACAATTTTCTAGACAGAGAGGTAATTTTTTTTCCTCAAATGGGTGTTTAGTCAAAGGAACTGATTCTAAAAACAAGAATACTTAAGAGAGAGAGAAAGAAAACAATGTTTTGAAGTTATTAGTTATATAATCATCTCTCATAATGGTAACAAGAAAATATGTAAATGAAAAAAGTAGGGTTATTCAATGACATTTTATTCCAACATCTTTCATTTCATCAATTGATTAGGATTTGCCTTAATTTAAGAAAAATGTATTGTAAAAGGACATAAAATTTGCGTAGAGATAAAAGCGCCATTAAAAAATAAAAGGTGTGCTCTTTAATGAAATAAGCATAAGAAACACTTGCTGTTGGTCCCATGTTGGTGAGTCACAGTGCATATGATCATGATAGAGGCTCCAAGAATATAATATTGAGACAAAGAAGCCAGCTTGTTTCTTTAACCTAGCACAATTTGAATTCTTTGGAAGCAGTACTCTAATCCCCCACCCCACCCCACCTTCCTCCCTCCATCTCTTTCTTTTTTCCTTCCATGTAACATCTACTGGCAGCCCACCTACTGGTTTACTTTCAGAACTGGATCACAGGGTCAAAATAACAGATAGGAATTAAATAACACCCAAACCAATCTTTGATTTACAAATAATGACTCGTAATTGTTAACAGAGTAGAATCACCCTTGTATGACTTATATTGTATCATGTGGTCCCATGATTTAATTTTAAAATACCTATTTTTTATTTTTTAAGAAATATATTCTTTAAATAGAATATATCAAATCTGCATATGCATTAGGGATACAAATGAGGATGTTTTATCTTCTAATTGAAGCATAATTAAATTTAATTTTAATTATTTTAGCTACTTCAAAATGACAGTTTCCCTACTAATGACTCTTAGGTTTAGGATAAATTAGATTATTTTCAGATTTTTAAAAAATGCTATCAGTTTCTAGGTTACCAAAATCTCCTTTTTTACACATTTGAAAATGATCAGTAATAGAAATTGATTATTTAGCTCTTCAAACTTTCTGAAGCATCCCAGTGAGAACCTTTTAATATCAAAATAGCTATAATGGTAAAGAGCTTTAAGAAAGGAGTATCAGACATTAAGAAACCTGGCCATGAAGAGATACAAGATGTCTTTAACAATGAATGCCTTAAAGTTACACCCAAATTTTTAATTAAAAAAAAAAAAACTTTGTAGCTTTTACCAACTTTTAAAAATGTAAACACCACTGCATAGGACCAAGAATAGATACATCAGCAGTAACTCCAGTGCCACAACTTTTCACCTCCCCAAAATACAAACTGTTTCTCTCCCTTTATTTTTCTCACCTATTCAAGGGCTGATGTATGGAATTTTCGTGTCTTAAATCTTTGGTAAACATTGGTCTGATCTTTCTCCTCTTGATCATTCTGGTCTGTTTCATCATTTATCAACTTTTTCCATCTCTGGACCTATTATGATTAAAAAGACACAAGATCTTTAAAAAAGTGTCACTTCTTTTAAATAATGCTGAGAATAGAAGTGGCCACTTCCACATTGGCTCATGTGAGACTGGTGGATTTTTCAACAGTCTGTGTTATCCCTCTCTCTATCATAGATTTCTGTAAATGCTGAGTCAATCTTTTAGAAAAACTTTACATAAGACAGAGTAAAGACTCTATGTCAAGTGTGATATTGTTTGTAATGTGTTCTTTTAGCAATATGGCCAGTATTCTCTTGCTGTGAGAGGCTCAGACAGAGATGGTGGGGCAGACGGCATGTCAGCAGAGTGTGAATGCAATATTAAAATCCTGGATGTCAACGATAACATTCCATATATGGAGATGTCTTCGGTAAGTACTTGTTCTTTCAGTTTTTAATCTAATAATTTAAAATCAGTATATTTTAAATTTTGCACAATTATATTTACAGATATATGTGTAATAACATAATTGAAATGTAGACATACTTTTTGTGTTTGTTTATACAACAGGGAAAAATATATTTAAACAATGAAAAATAAAATTATAACAGATATAATTTTTAAATAACGAATAATATTAAAACATCAATACAAGCCTAGTACAGTTCTTCTTTCATAGTTTGTGTTGTTGTTTTTTTCCCCACTTCTTGTTTTAGTACTCTGTAAATATTGAAGAAAATGCTCTACATTCAGACCTACTCCAGATTAGAGTAATTGATTTGGATGAAGAATACACAGCTAACTGGATGGCAGTAATTTTTTTTATCTCTGGAAATGAAGGAAATTGGTTTGAAATAGAAATGAATGAAAGAACCAATGTAGGAATTCTAAAGGTTGTCAAGGTATAGTGCAATTATCCTACTTATTTTGTTTTCTTGATCTTTTTCAAAATATTGTTTAAAATGACAATAACATTTTACACACTTGAGTTAGTGAAAGAATAAGAATTACTGTGGGGCTGGGGATGTGGCTCAAGTGGTAGCGCGCTCGCCTGGCATGCGTGCGGCTCAGGTTCGATCCTCAGCACCACATACAAACAAAAGATGTTGTGTCCGCCAAATACTAAAACAAAAAATAAATATTAAAATTCTCTCTCTCCCTCTCTCTCACTCTTTCTTTGAAAAAAAAGAATTACTGTGCTTTAAAATTATAAATTATTTAAATTTTTAAATATGAAATCTTTCTGCTTATAATATTTCAGAAAAACAGGCATTGAAATACAACTTGAAATTATGTTTATCATTACAGTACTCCCAAAAGATAATATGAATTGAAAGCATTTTTAAAGGAGAATCTTATTTTACACTTTCAACAACATATGATTAATATTTAATATTAATCTTTTCAGAATGTTTTAAACGCAGATTTATCAGGCTCAAAAAAAATGTGCCCATGCTCAACCTTCTAAGTCAATTATTGTATGCCAAGAATATTTACCATGTAAATTAAAATTTGTTTATTCCTCTCATGCATTTTTATAAAATTAAAATTAAATTATTGGGATTACAATAATTGTCATAATCCCATCTTTCTGTGGCTGCTGACCAAGGCTATTAGAAACATAAATATTTGGTCCAGTGTTCTCTTATTTCCCTACCCCTCATATTAATGATCTACCACATTCACCTGCAGTAAAATTTTCTCTGAGATACAAGAAAAAATAGGTATTTGACTTGTAAGGAGCTGATAGTGAAGGTTTCACCCTGTGCTATAAGAGTAATAAGATTTAGTATCTGAAATATACACTAACTTTGCTTTATCTCTCATAGCATCCTTGCAAATTAGGTTATACTAGACCATATTGCAGGTAAAGAGATTAAGGCTCAGGTAGACTATGCAACTTCCTCAAGTTCTCATAGCTGGTAAGTGGTACAGCCAACATTCAAACCTATGTTTTTCTAGCTATGAAATTCATATTCTTAGCCAGGCGCAGTGCCATACACTTGTAACCCAGGGTTCAGGAAGCTGAGACAGAAGGATCACAAGTTCAAAGCCAGCCTCAGTAACTTAGTGAGGTCCGTCCTAAGCAACTTAGCAAGACTCTGTCTCAAATAAAAAATAAAAAGTGCTTGGGATATGGCACAGTTGTTAAGTGCCCCTGGATTCAAGCTCCAGTACCAAAAATAAAAAATAAAAAGAAATTCACATTCTTTCCATAATACTATGAGCAATTCAATATTAGGGAAATTGGATCCTCATCTATTGTACCCTAAACTAATATGTTACTTTAAAAATTTATTCATCATATTTTTTCATATCTCTATCCAGAATATAGTATAATAATTGTTTTCTCAAACATAATATCATATATATTAAATCTTTTGTCATAATTATGTTGAGATAATTATGTATGTAATGTACACATACATCTATGCTATTGTAGCTACTCTTTAAATTGCAATTAAGACCAAAATTCAAAATTTTAGCTAAACAGGAGAGATCAGTGTGTGAATCTCTGTTTTTATCTAAATTACTCTCATGCAAAAATTCTGAAAAATATCTTTTTATTTGGTACATAGGGACATAATGACTTAGTCGTTTTGTAGATTTTATGAGCTGTGGATTTTGACAGCACTTTTCATAATGAAATTCACTACTTGATTATTTTATAATACAAAATTAATTTTTTTAGAATATGTTGGAGAAAAATAGGAATTTTATCGTATAATAAATATGAATATTATAGTCCAGTACCCGACATACTCAAAAAGTCACATTTACAGAAGTAAAATTTCTTCTAAATAATTCTTTATGGTTGAAACTTGTGTAATGATCAAATTTCCAATATAGTTGACCCATACTTTGTTATGAATAAAAACATAAAATGATGGAAGCTGACATAAATTATCTTTGCACTATAAGATACATGATTTTGACCATCTGTATTATTTTAAGTTTTTAATTTATTGAATGGGTAGAGTTCATGCCATACATTGGCAATTTTTTCAACAGTGATGTAGAACAACTAGACTTCTTCTTACTATGTTTGCATGTATTTTTTACATTGAATTAAAGACAAAGAAAGTAAGAATGGATTTGGTTTTGCATGCATTTGTATTTAATGATGGAAAGAAATCACTTTTATTATTCTCAAAGGACTTCTCTTTCTTCTGACATTTTTAATAAAAAGGGCATTTTTTATTATAATAAAACAACTTGACTCTGTATTTCCAGCCCTGAAATGTTTTCTTATGGTAAAACTATTTCACTCTGTATTTTCTAGCCCTTAGATTACGAAGAAATAAAGAATCTGCAACTTAGCATTGGAGTTAGAAATAAAGCTGAATTTCATCATTCAATTATGTCTCAATATAAACTCACAGCAACTGCAATCTCTGTGGTTGTGTTAAATGTGGTGGAAGGCTCAGTGTTCCGCCCTGGTTCAAAGACATTTGCAGTTACAAGTAATATGGGAGCAAATCATAAAGTAGGAGAGTTCATAGCTACTGACCTGGACACAGGTTCAGCTTCAACAACTGTTAGGTAAGAATGACATTTTCTAACTAATTTTTACCAAATATTGAACATAAGTACATATGTTATTTTTAATTTTTTAAGTATCTGAATTAAAATATTTTCATTATTTTTAAACCGTCATTCAAATGCAAAAAGTACTAACTGCTGATTTGTTACTTGGGATATTTAAGGAAATATAAAAATTTGTGCAAAATGTACTATGTGAAACTGTGAAGATAAGTGGCAATAATATATCTGGAAAGTTCTTACATGCCTGTGTTTATATATCTCATTAATCAATTAGCTAATTACCACAGGCATTGGTTTTCCACAGTACCCCAATCTCACCTTAGATCCTGGGAAGATTTTATGAAACTGATTTTCACATTACAAAATTTCTCAGCTTGAAAAAATTAGATTTAGTTAGCCCATTTTGACTATTTTCTTCACTTTTACCAGCATTAAATGCTAGTCAATAACTTTGATACAAAACATTAGTTATATTAAGGAAAAATGTGCTATATTATAAAGACTTTAAGAACTCTCTGTGACAAAAAGTGCTCACTACTGAATCGTCGCTTAAAGTATTTGATATAAGAAAATATAAAGTTTAAGCCAGGTGTGGTAGTACATGCCTGTAATCCCATCAACTCAGGAGACTGACACAGGAGGATAGCAAGTGCAATTTGAGACCCTGTCTCAAAATTTAAAAAATCAAAAGAACTGGGGTATGTGTCTCAGTGGTTAAAGCATCCCTGGGTTTAATCTCCAGTACCAAAAAAGTAAATAAATAAATAAGGAAAGAAAAAAAGGAAAAAAAGTATAGTTTAAGAACTCTGTATGTATAACTCTTCTACTTAATCGCACACACACACAGGAAAAAAAACTGTGCATATATTTGCACATGTGACTATGATCAGGAAGAGTGGAGAAAAGACCTTATTAAGGTGTATTAAGAGTTCTTTCCCGTGTTCTCATGTGAGCACTTGTGTCCTCGACCTCATCACTCTGGACCACCATTGCTGATCACCTTTCTCATACCCCTCAGGAGTAAATCCACTGACAGATGCATCCTCCCCTTTTCTGAAGGTTCTGTCCTTAAAGCTTAGCACAATGCCTGAGACAGGGAGTCATAGGACCCGTGTTTGTTTCACAAGTATGTCAATGAGGAGAACACTGAGGTCAAAGATGAGAGAGAAGGAGAATAAGATGGATGCACAGGCAAGGACGAAGTTTGGAATTCAAAAGCAGTCTCGCAAAGTCATTGTTAATTTAGTGGGGAGAACTGGAAATTGAGAGGGAGTGCAGGCCACGCTGAGGCCTATTTAAATAATAAATAGTTGGGTACTACATAAAATTTGAAAAGTATAGAATTAGAGAAAGAATTTTTTTCTTTTTGATAAGAGAATAATATAGACTTAGAGCAGCCCAGGATCTAGGTCTTCCCGGATAGTCTTGCTGTCACCCAAGGGAGATGATACTGAAGCATATAAGCATAAAAAGACATTCATCAGAAATGCTTACTTAGTTGTT